ACTCTATTAGATATTATACCCACCTATATTCAGACTACTAGCTCTGAACCTAACTACCCTCTGTACATAGGATTCCTTCTTTGTTATTACTATAAGTAGTTTCTTGTGGCTTTCATTCGTGTGGTATGTGGGCGGTTTTTGTGCGGTAGCTTTATGTTTATTCTTTGTAATATTTGTCATAATTGGTATTATGGTAGGAGTTGAGTAACAATCTGAACAGAATGTCCCTCCCCCACTAACCACTGCAAACCCAGGTATTAGCACATTTGTGACCCTGATGCATTAGTAAGAGCAGTCCGGTGACCACAGGGTGACCCACCACAACCAGCTTTAGAGACACCCTTCCATGCTGTACTTGGCACTAAAGCTGGCTGGAGTATTTTGTGCTTGATATTGAAGCTGCCTTTAAGGGTGCTACCTCTGAGTTCCGGCTCCTGTACTATCAAGGGAAAGTGCCAGCCTGTGAAACGCTCACCTGTTACCCGCTGTGCAGACAGCATGCCAGCCCAGAAAATACAGCAGAGACCAGGGGATGGGCACAGCTCTGGTTGACCCTACTGCCAGCAGGCATGATGAGGCAAGGTACAATGTGTTTGATGCCCTTCTTAACACCACTTCACAAGGTGGGAATAGCTGGATGGGCAGGGTTGCAATTCCCCGAGGTAATCTATGACTATCTGCCTACCCTTGGATTGGGAAAAGCATGATAGCACTAATGGAATGGAGATTTGAAAATATTGAAATAATAAAGTACAGTACTGTACAGTACTTTAAAGAAAGAAATAGGAAAATATTTTAATGCTGTCTTCAGTTTAATAGGTAGTATTTCAAGTGAAATTTTTCAATGTTTTCATTTGTTCATGGTTGGGTTAAAAAGAAGTGATCATTATGAGTGATGGAAATTGGTTCTAGTTTTATTGATAAGGATGAGGGGTGTAATTGAGAGTTATGTCAGCTGTTGTCTGTTGTTGAGTTTGCAAGTGTCTTTTAAAAAAGAAAGTTATAGTGAATGTGAGTCAAGGGAAACAGGGGAATGGACATTAATTTAAGTGGAGACAGAAATGGAGGAAATTAGTTGTTTTAGGATCAGTGAGTGGATGTACTAATGAATGGAACAATGAGTGATGACTTGAGTCACTAAGTCAATGGAAGAAAGAAAGTAAGTAATAATGCTGCTTTTCATCACACATGTTAGAACCACAAAAAGAAAAAAAAACACTCCTTAAGCACTTGTGTGTGGGGTCCCTTCTGTGCTGAATAAAATTATCCTCAAGTACTTATAAACCAGATACTGCCAAGTCTCCAGATGTTTTGTTCACAACTGTACAATAGACTAGTTAAGCCAGTTATAGTATGAAGTATGTATAATGTCTTGATGTAAGAGGAAGAAGCAAGTTGGAAGTGACAAGTACAGGGTTGCCAGACAAAGAGTAGACTGGGATTTGTTTAGGTGATGTGAACTTAGTGAAAAAATGAGAATTGAATGTTTGATAAACAGAATATAAATTCAGAAGTGGACAGTAGAAGAGAGTAAACTGCATAAGTGGAAAAGATGGGTTTAGAGGGCACAATACATGAAAGGTTTGAACCTGCAGGAAACAATGATGGGTGTGAATACCTAGGAAGTATGGCAGGGAAGAATGTGATGTTAGGTTTTGTATAACGATGGTGATAAACTATATGGATATTTTGGGGCCTTCTTGTGGAAAGGGAACACCATATCATCATCATTTTACAGCCATTTCCATGCTTGCATGGGTTAGCTGTGAGTACCTGAAGGCAAGTCTCATGCTGCATGGTCTCTTGCAGTCTCTCTTGTCAGGTTCTTAACACGTTTGTTACAGCAGTTAAGGAATGGTTGATTGGCAATGTAGGGAAAGTCTGTGTTTGCTCTTTGATTTATTCACCCTGCAAATATTAAATTTTGATGCTTACAGTTAGTACAGTAGTGCTTTTTCCACAGTGCATTTTAGATACAGTGTATGTACTATATAATTGAAAACTACTTGAATTAGCCTTAGACCAGTCAAATTGACTTTTTATTATTTTTATTTAGACAGCAAACTCTTGTACATTTACATACTGTTTATACTAATGCATACATTTATTAACCAGCCTGTACGAGGCACTCCAAAATGCACAGTTGCCTTCTGTTATATGGATTTATCCAGCACATTATTGACACATCATACTGTGTACACATCCACATGACATCAATCCTCTCAATTAAATAACTGCCAACCCCTCCCTTTTCCTATAAAAATCACCCTTGTAAAACATGGTGGGGGTTTTATGTCTTTGTGTTGGAGGGATTGTGGTGAAACTTAAAATACACACTGATGATATTCACACTACCTGACTTCACATTATTTCAAGGTTGTCTCAATACACATGTTATTTACTAATAATCTGTAACTCACTGAGAGTTTAATATTGCCAAATTGGAATTCTTTGCAAATGGTTTTCCTCTTTTCAGGTAATAACTAGACCTGCAAGAATTTGATTTACGTAACTCATTTCCTTATAGATTTGGCTCTGCATTAGTTTTATTTCATTTTATGTTAATTGAAATAGAATGGTGCTGCTGCATATATTTTACCACATTTAATTTTATTTTAATTAGTACTGTATTTATGTATTAGTATGGATGGTACAGGGTATTAATTTTACCATGGAATTTGTTTTCTGAAATACATATTACTGTACACATAAAGGGGGGTTAATGTTGTTAATTTTTGCTTTGTAAATTTTTAGAGAGCTTTTGCATGATATCCTGTACATGCTTTTTCCTAATAATTCTTTTGTTATGTTTTTTTTTTTATATGACCCAAAATTATACACATTGTATTTTGATCTGTTTTGCTTTAGGTGTTCATTGTGATAATAATACAGGTGCTCCTCTACTTAAGAACATTCAAACTACAAATTTTCAGAGATACAAACATCATCACTGAGGGGGGTTACCTGCTACAACTGGTGTTTAATGTGGATGAGACTGGATTATTTTGCAGAAAATTCCAGATAGAGCAAACAATACCTAAGGAGAAGCGTGAGCCAGGTTTTAAGGCTGTATTAAAGGGTATAGCTGTACTAAATATCCATAATCGTTTCATTTTTTTACATTATGTTTGGTATCTACAAGAGTAAAGTTGGACTTAAAAACAATTGGACTTACAAACAAACCTCAAGAACGTAACTCTTTCGTAAGTAGAGGAGCACCTGTATATGTTATATCATAAGTGCAAGAAAATTTCAAGGATTTCCTTTCGATGGAAAATTCTTTGTACTTTTCCCCATCCAACCCTGTAGAGTATTTGGTATATGTGTGTGTGTGTGTGTGTGTGTGTATGTCTGTGTCTATGATCAAAAGTTATGTTTTCTGTTAAAACTCATTCAACAATTTTCCAAATAATTTAATGAATCTTTTTACATATATCTATAGTGTACTTGAGGGTAGACTCACATTTATTCTAAATTTTGTTTTCTTGTTTCTGATTATTTGTGAGAGGATTTTCCCATTATTTATTTGTATGTTTTTTTTGTGTGTGTTCTACACACATTCATAAAGGTAATATTCTTTGCACGAGTAAAAATGTTTCCCCCCCCTCCCCCTGGTTAGCTAATCTTATTAGCTGATTTAGCTATTTGTGGCCATTTTGGGAACTTAACCCCTGTGAATTTTAAGGGCATGCTGTATAACTATTGAAATGCATCAAAGAAGCCTAAACCACATTTGGAACATATTTAATTTCCAAATTTTCTGCTACCTCCCACTTGGGAATGTGCGGGCAAGGGATGGAAGTGACGGTAATGAACATAGTGTCTCACTGTCCATTGTCATATGCAGATCTAGGATACTCGCTTTTATCTGGTAGTGTACTACTGCATACAGTAGGATCTTGAGTTTCGGTACTAACTGGTACCGGTTTTGGGTCATGAATTAATTTTCATCACTCCCTGGTAAAATTGGTTCCCATGGCACTGACCCCATTCATGTTAGGTCACTGTATGCAGAACGTTTCACTTTTATTGTAAAGCCTATGTCACTTTTACACAGCCAAATCACTCACACAGTCCCAGCCAGTCACTTAAACTATCAGTCAAGTGCACAGAACCAGGGAGTTATTTATGCAGAGGCTGTCATTTGCACAGAGTTAGTCAGTCAATCACTTGCACAAAATAAAACCAAACTGTCATTTTCACAATTCCAGACACTTGTGTAAAACCTATCACTGTTGTGTGCAATAAGTCACTCTTGCACAGAGCCTGTCACTTTTATGTAATAAGTCACTTGCACAGAGCCAGTCACTTTTGTGTTTTATATCACTCTTACACAGAGCCTGTCACTTCCATAGAAGTAGTTGCTCGGTCAAAACCCTGGTCTCTGTTCATGCTTTGTGCCTCTGGGATGTCACCCAATATAAATATAGTAATAGCACTCAAGTTGTTAGCTCATGCAGTTTACAGCAAATGCAAGTACAGTACAACTATAGACCATGGTGACAACATTATAAAGGTAGTGCCTTAACGATGGATTTAAAAAAAATAATACTGTAATAATAATTGAATGAAAACTTCCGCTCTTGCTGAATGTATTAAGCCTAAAATCACCATACTAAACAAATTTATTAAATCACAATATGGTACAATATTGAGGCGTCGCCTAAAGCAGGGGCAATTTTCAGGGAGTTGTAACCGTGGGATTTAGAGAAATTATTTTTCAAGCCTAGTTGTCACAGGCTTTGAGTAAGCACATTTGGTGCTTGCACACCTGCTTCAGGTGATGCCTCAATTAATTCATCATAAATTTTAAGTTTACTTGCACACCCAGAAAATATAAAATAGCTTGTTCATTCTCAGTATTAGATGTTTTACATAAACAAATGTGATTATTGAAGATTATTGAAACTTGATAAAAAAAAACATTTTTATTCATGTGCTGGAAAGTAAAGAACAAAAATAGTGAATCAAGAAACAAATTAATGAAATATTCACTGCAGGTGGTGTATGCTGAGCTAGACCTAGGCAAGGGAGAACCTGATAAGAAGACTGATGTGAAAGCAGAAGACAAGACGGAATATGCACAGATTGTGGGAACGCTTACGGACAACCGGGAAGAAGAGAAAAAAGAGTAGAATGTACTATTTTGTACATTGTGAGTAGCTTATTAAATGTAGCAACATGTTACATCATTATAACAAAGATGATGGTGACCATGATTGTTCACCAAGGTGATCATCATTGTGTGACGGCCTTCATGTTTAATACAATCTTGAGCAGTTGATGTGCTTGTATTAGTAATCACTATGTGTTCTTTTGTAATTGTTCTTATTGTAGACAGATGCACGTACTTTTTAAGGACATTATACTTTTATCTGAACACCATATTTTTAAATGTGATGCAAAGTAAAATTTATAGGTCATTTAGATTTATTGGAAAAGGCTTATATTGACTGATATTTAAATTACATGTACTACTAAAATTGGACTCGTGTAGTATAGCTGACACCCTAAGTGGTTTTATAGGTGGGAATGATGATGAATCATTTGAATGATACTGTACCTCAATTCTGATATAATCATTAAAGAAGTTGATTGTGCTTTCATATAAGCTAAGTGGGAACCTGTTGATAATGTGATGTTGACTAAAATGTACAATTTAAGATTAATTTGGCTGGCCCAGTTCCTATTACACTGTATTATATCATTTCAGAATATCTGAATTGCTCCCCGAATCTTTGGTGAAGTTATTGTATTTAGATGTATTTTCTTAATTTGTCAACATTGTATTATTACATTGTTTTGCATATCTACTACACCCATAAGCTGTTGTGGCAGTCAGTGGGATCATGCTTTAGCCGCATACTGGTGGGGCCTTTGCTCATGTCTTGGAAATGGTTTCCAGGTAGGCCTTAATAGTGTGTTTCCGAAGCATCTCTATTTCCTATGAATACAGTGTAAGGAAAACCATAGTTTCTCACGATCTCAACCTGGGGTAAACATTCTCAGATTTAAGATGTATGTTAATTTGACCAAGAGGTTTTCCTATTGGATTAGGTCATTGGTTACAATCTTTTTAGATTAATGTGTGGATGGATGGGTCAAAATGGAAAAATGTTCAATTAGTTTTGAATTCGATAAATTTTATTTAGTATTCATGTAGCTTTTACATGTTGCTCTTAGATGGCTGACAGATATGAGTGACTGATTTAATCTTTTTAAAACTAGGTGATATTGTATTATACAGGATGATTGTCAGCCTATTGCCTTTTCACTCTGGGCTTGCTGTTTGTCTGACAGAAATCTTAGATTAATTTCTGTACCTGATACTTCAGATGCTTATATACTTTTAATGAATGCAACTACAGTTTACTGACTGATACATAGTGATGTATATGATGATTCACTACTAGTAGTAAACTGAATATGTTTAGTAACTCTCTGTTACATCACCCACAGCACATACAGTGTAATAGTTGAAGAATGAATGTTCCACAAACATGAATAACAGAATGTACTGTTAAACTTTCAGCTCTTTATTTTTGCAAAAAAATGAAAAAAATATACATATATATATATATAAAAATATATATATATATATTAGAGCAACATTAAGGCAAGGATCTTCCAGAAGTGAGTGAAAATTTTATTACACTTGTGTTCAGCAGTATACATAGTGACTGTGTTTCTTAATATTTTTGTAAATGCCGTATGCTGCCTCGATGATTATAGAACATCCGTTAAAACACTAAAGAATTTGGTGCTGCTAGTCTGATTTTAAAGTTAACCATTTATGATGATTACTCATTAATGGCTAGCATTACTCTAGTAATGCATCTGTATGTAATGTAGCAGAGCCAGATTACTTGCAGTTGGTCATCAACATTTGTATATAACTCTTACTGTGTATATGCTGACAAACACTCATGTCTAGTGTACTTTTGTATTATGTTTGTCTACTCTGCAACATGATTCACTGTGTAAATTTGATTTTTTTTAAATAATTCCCTTTATGTAAGTAAGTGAATCATACACCCCTCTCAAACTTGACACACCCTTCTCACACATCATGCACCTGTTCTCACACACCTCTCTAAAGCCCCCCACACCCCTGTAGCACCCCGCACACCCCTGTAGCACCCCGCACACCCCTGTAGCACCCCGCACACCCCTGTAGCACCCCTCGACACCCCTGTAGCACCACACCCCTGTAACACCCCCACACCCCTGTAACACCCCCACACACCCTCTTATGCCCCACACACCCCTGTAACACACCTCTTATGCCCCACCAACTTCTCACCCCCAACTCTCTCACCCCTAACTCTCACCCCCCTAACTCTCTTACCCCTAACACTCTCACCCCCTAACTCTCTTCACCCCCTAACACTCTCACCCAACTCTCTCACCCCCACACCACCCCTCCCTCCCTCTAACACCCCATACCACCCCACCCTCTTAGCACCAAACACCTCACCCTCTAACACCCCCCCACACTACTAACTAACACACCCCCCTCTAACACCCCACACCACCTAACACCCCACACCACCTCTAAAACCCCACACACCCCCCTCTAACACCCCACACCACCCACCTCCAACACCCCACACCACCCACTCTCCAACACCCCACACCACCCACCTCCTCTAACACCCCACACCACCCACCTCTCTAACACCCTACACCCCCTCCTCTAACACCCCACACCTTCTAACACCCACACCACCCCCTAACACCCCACACCACCCCCTCTAACACCCCTGCACCTCCCTCTAACAACACCCCACAACCCCCTCCTAACAACACCCCACAACCCCTCCTAACAACACCCCACTACCCTCCCCGAACACACATCCCTTCTAACACCGCACACCTCCATCTAACAACACACCCCCATCTAACAACACCCACACCCCTATCCCTCTAACACCCCACCCCCTACCCCTCTGACACCCCACACACCCCCATCCCCCACTCCTTTGACACACCCTCCCCTCCTGCACATACCCCTCTACTACTACTTGCTGTCTCTCAAAAATGAGTATGAGGATCATCCAGGTATGATAAAATGATATGAGTTAAGAATGTCACCTTGTTTGGTGATATATTAAGAAAGTTGAGCACAGAAAATGGAAAATTTATCATAGAATATGGGAAATTCAATCAAAGAAAATGGGAAACTTATCAAAGAAAATGGGATTTTATCACAGAAAATGGGAATTTTAATCACAGAAAATGGGAAATTTAATAATAAAATGGGAAGTTTATCATAGAAAATGTGAAATTTAATCATAGAAAATGGGAAATGTTATCACAGAAAATGGGAAATTTATCATAGAAAATGGGAAGTTTGATCATAGAAAATGGGAAATGTTATCACAGAAAATGGGAAATTTAATCATAGAAAATGGGAAATTTATCAAAGATTATGGGAATTTTAATAGAAAATGAGAAATTTAATCATAGAAAATGGGAAATGTTATCACAGAAAATGGGAAATTTAATCATAGAAAATGGGAAATGTTATCACAGAAAATGGGAAATTTAATCATAGAAAATGGGAAATTTATCAAAGAAAATGGGAAATTTAATAATAGAAAATGAGAAATTTAATCATAGAAAATGGGAAATGTTATCACAGAAAATGGGAAATTTAATCATAGAAAATGGGAAATTTATCATAGAAAATGGGAAATGTTATCACAGAAAATGGGAAATTTAATAATAGAAAATGGGAAATTTAATCATAGAAAATGGGAAATTTAATCATAGAAAATGGGAAATTTATCATAGAAAATGGGAAATGTTATCACAGAAAATGGGAAATTTAATAATAGAAAATGGGAACTTTTATCATAGAAAATGGGAAATGATGTCACAGAAAATGGGAAATTTATTCATAGAAAATTTAATCATAGAATATGGGAAATTTTATCATAGAATATGGGAAATTTAATCATAGAAAATGGGAAATGTTATCACAGAAAATGGGAAATTTAATCATAGAAAATGGGAACTTTTATCATAGAAAATGGGAAATGATGTCACAGAAAATGGGAAATTTATCATAGAAAATGGGAAATTTAATCATAGAAAATGGGAAATTTATCATAGAAAATGGGAAATGTTATCACAGAAAATGGGAAATTTAATAATAGAAAATGGGAACTTTTATAGAAAATGGGAAATGGGAAAATTTTATCATAGAAAATGGGAAATTTAATCATAGAAAATGGGAAATTTATCATAGAATGGGGAAAATGGGAAAACAGAAAATGGGAAAATCATAGAAAATATTCATAGAAAATTTAATCATAGAATATGGGAAATTTTATCATAGAAAATGGGAAATGTTATCATAGAAAATGGGAAATTTAATCATAGAAAATGGGAAATTTATCATAGAAAATGGGAAATGTTATCACAGAAAATGGGAAATTTAATAATAGAAAATGGGAACTTTTATCATAGAAAATGGGAAATTTATCATAGAAAATGGGAAATTTATTCATAGAAAATAGAAAATTTAATCATAGAATATGGGAAATTTTATCATAGAAAATGGGAAATTTTATCACAGAAAATGGGAAATTTAACATAGAAAATGGGAAATTTAATCATAGAAAATGGGAACTTTATCATAGAAAATGGGAAATGTTATCACAGAAAATGGGAAATTTAATAATAGAAAATGGGAACTTTTATCATAGAAAATGGGAAATGTCACAGAAAATGGGAAATTTATCATAGAAAATGGGAAATTTAATCATAGAAAATGGGAAATTTAATCATAGAAAATGGGAAATTTATCATAGAAAATGGGAAATGTTATCACAGAAAATGGGAAATTTAATAATAGAAAATGGGAACTTTTATCAGAAAATGGGAAATTTAATCATAGAATATGGGAAATTTATTCATAGAAAATGTAATCATAGAATATGGGAAATTTTATCATAGAAAATGGGAAATTTTATCATAGAAAATGGGAAATGTTATCACAGAAAATGGGAAATTTAACATAGAAAATGGGAAATTTAATCATAGAAAATGGGAACTTTATCATAGAAAATGGGAAATGTTATCACAGAAAATGGGAAATTTAATAATAGAAAATGGGAACTTTTATCATAGAAAATGGGAAATGATGTCACAGAAAATGGGAAATTTATCATAGAAAATGGGAAATTTATTCATAGAAAATAGAAAATTTAATCATAGAATATGGGAAATTTTATCATAGAAAATGGGAAATGTTATCACAGAAAATGGGAAATTTAACATAGAAAATGGGAAATTTAATCATAGAAAATGGGAACTTTATCATAGAAAATGGGAAATGTTATCACAGAAAATGGGAAATTTAATAATAGAAAATGGGAACTTTTATCATAGAAAATGGGAAATGATGTCACAGAAAATGGGAAATTTATCATAGAAAATGGGAAATTTATTCATAGAAAATAGAAAATTTAATCATAGAATATGGGAAATTTAATCATAGAAAATGGGAAATGTTATCACAGAAAATGGGAAATTTAACAGAAAATGGGAAATTTAATCATAGAAAATGGGAAATTTATCAAATTGAAAATTTATAGAAATTTGGTTAACTAATATAAATGAGAACCTATCATGTAAAAAATTGGTACAAAGAAAATAGTGGTGATTACAAATAACAAATTTCACATCACTAAATACTTTATTGGTAAAATGTTTATATACATGTGGAAACAGTCAGCAAAAAAAATGAAAGGACAGTGGCATGAAAACAAATTTTACCACCGAGTGCCCTTTGGGGGGGGTTAGGGGGGGAAGTCATCTCAAGTCAACATGCCTGTCTTGACTCCTTGCTTTCTGTTCTAAATAACAAATGTCATCCTGTATGAGGAATTAAATAGGTGTCCATAGTCACATTCTGATTTCAAACATTTATTATATGCAAATGGTATAAGATTTTTAAATGCAGATATTTGTATTTGAAAGTAACTAAGTTTTGTTTTTCACCTAACCAAATGCAAAACACTGCATTTCAATAACTTAAATTACGTGCAAACATGTTTTGAAATCAGAATGGGACTTTATGAACACCCAATGAAACTGAAGCCAATCACAAAGAACAGAAATTTGAGTTACCTACCTTGTAATGTTGGTCATAACAAACCATGCGCCCAGCACACAGAAATTAATAAAAAAAATACTGCACTCAAATGTTTTCACAATTGTTATGATTTTTAAGATTCTCATAATGAGGCACAGAAAAAAACATAAGCATGTAAAGGCCAGCTCTAGATGCTCAGATGAATTAACAGTTTATCAGACAAATAAAACTATATATCTATAAAGAAGCTACAACAAAGTATACATTGGTAAGAAAATATAGAGATCAGTGCCTTTAACATGAGGTACGTATTGCTAAAAGCTCAAAGAAACTTCGTTACTAAACAGCAAACCTCCTACATGGGTGATGCATTAACTACCCAAAGTTCTGTAACCACAGACATAAGGTAATGTGAACCACATCATTCCAAAAACTTTCAAAAACACAGGCAACATTTGTGGGTTTGAAACCATAAAACATCTGTTTGTGGCGGAACAATGTTTCACGAACAATATTCTTATGTAACTCTTGACACAAAACAGACTAGCACATTGACCAAGTATATATACGAATATGTATTAATCGGGTGGGTTAAGGTGATTTGGAGTATAACTTAATATTAAAACATTGCTATCATAGGATCTTTTTCATTGACTGTCAAGAAGGACGATGCATACTCGCTCGGCCGAGGGTCTATATCTTCCAAAACTTCTTGGATATTTTTAGGTTGTCTATGTTGGTGTCTTTCATTGTCATTTCTGCTGGTTTTGCTCTCATTTGCTGCAGGGTCGTTTAGTCTGCCAGTTTTCATATCAGTATCCTCTTGATTAATTTTAAGGACACTGTCTTTAGCCAAGACACTAGAAGGGGCCAATTCAGGACCAACAACCTTATTAACCTGCTCAGAAGCATAACCACGACCAAAATATGTGCCATCACCCAGGAACGTTGATTCTCCCTCTTCAGATTTTCGAACAGCAAATTCTGAAAAATCTCTGAAGTTGGAGAAAAAATCATCCACATAATTATTGGAATGTGAGGCACTATGGGGATCAGGAAAGACAATGTAACCATCATCTAATAAATGGTCATACTCGTGATGGTATCCATTGGGATCATCGTCATCATAAAAAGTACCACCTCGCAGAATTTCAAAGTTACCAGAGCCAAGTAAGGAGTTGTCAAAGTTTCCTTGCTCGTGTTCACGGTGGAAGGGGTGACGGCTTGAGGGAAACGAAAATTCTGGTTTATGGATAGCCTCTCGTCCACCTGGACTGTGAAAAGAATTGTGGAAATCCCTAAATGATGACTGCTCCCTCTGACTAGGGCTCTCTCGAAATGCTGGACCACGAGGCAGGAGCCTCCCACCTCTGGGCCCAGGAGCTCTAGGGAGTATAGGTGGTGAAGGAAAGAATAACTGCTGGGATGCTGGTAGAGGAGGACCATGGCGACCATTGAATGTAGGATAAAACCTCTGGCCATCAGGTATGATTATATCATCATCAGGGGTGTGTACTTGCACCTTGTCTGCTTCAACTCTGAAGTCCTTGGAATATTGAACTGGGAGTAAACTTCTTTCTCCAAAATGTGTACCTCTGCCTGCTAAAGGGGATGTTCTTTGTGCTTGGAAATCAGGGTAGTTAAAACTTGGGAAAGGCTCAAACTGCAGTGGGACTTCAGAGTATGCAGTTTCACTATCATGGACAGTCTGGAATTCTCTTGGGTTCCGACTATGTGGGACCTGAGAATCGACCTGGACTCGATGAACTCGTTTATGTGGAATGTTGGCTGGATCACTGGTGTCAGGTTCCCCTGCTCTCCTTCGGACCCGAGTCTTGCTTATCTTAGATTCATCATACACTCCATGCTGGTTTTCATTATGTGGGTTCTCATTGTCTAGGGTCTGTGGTGAAGAAATATAATTATTAGTTATTATAATCCTTCTAATAACTTGGTCACTATTTTGTTGCAAGTCTTTGGTAAAATGTCATACTGAATATCAAAAACACCAAATACAGTACAATGCCTGCATATTGGACATACTGTATTCATAAAAGAAAACCACCTATGAGAAAGTTTTGATTTAATAATAATAATAAACCGATTCAAAATAAATTACAAAAGGAGGGAGGGCAATCTTTAATGGTAGAAAATGTAAGCTTTAAGATGAATTTGACTTTAACTGGGGGTTAAATTAATGATACAGCATACTGTATTATGTGTGTGTGGAAACTGTACACACATTTATGTACAGTTTCCGTTCCTGAGGATGTTCTCAAGTTGAAAATGTACGTAAGTCGAAAAACATGCTCTGTGCATACCATACTTACAGAACAATATGGATACAAAAAATAAAAATTAAAATAGAGTACTGTATTGTAATAATAATAATAATATATTAAACAATTGCAACAATAAAATTAACTATGTTTTTTTTAGTAAAAAATAGTAAAAAGACACTGGAAAAAAAAAATTCTATTAAAATGAATTGTATAGGTGCATTTATCTTGGTTCCCCCCCCCCCCTCCTCCCAGTGTACCTCAAGCATGGGGTACACTGAGCTCATTTCATGCCTCCATAAGAAATGCACAGTCAGAAACTGTCAATAGCTGCTGACAAGAAAAACACCACAAACAGACATCAGTCAGGCCAATGCCATCATAAGGTAATTTCTTATAGCAGGAGTTATCAGCAACATGGGCCAGATTTAACTTTACATCATCAGCAGATGTCAGTGAGGTGTCAGCATCAGCAGCAGGTGTCAGTAAGGTGTTAACATCAGCAGCAGATGTCAGTGAGGTGTGCATATTAGTGTGTGTTAACATCAGCAGCAGGTGTCAGTAAGGTGACATCATCAGCAGGTGTCAGTAAGGTGTTAACATCAACAGGTTTCATTAAAGTGTTAACATCAACAGGTGTCAGTAAGATGTTAACATTAACAACAGATGTCAGTAAGGTGTTATCATTGGCAGGTGTCATTGAAGTGTTAACATCAACAGATGTCATTGAGGTGTTAACATCGTAAACAGGTGTCAGTGAGGAGTTAACCTCATCAGCAGGTGTTAGCATATCAATAAGTGCCAGTGAGGTTGTGAGCTGTGAGAAATCCTCTGAAAAAACCTCAGCAAGGTTTTAATATAATCAACAGTGTCAGCATCATTAACAAAGCAAGAATAACCAATCAAAACCAAGTAATGGAGAGAAAGGTTGGAAGGCAGGCACAGCTATGGTCATACACTAACAATCACCATGAACATAAGAGAGAATCAAGCACCAAGCCACAAAGTACAGTATCATCATACCATGGAAGGACTTAGGACTTGCAGGGTAAGATAAGAAAAATCATGCCTTACGCCAAAGGAAGTGTTTGGCAAAGATTAGCAAGAGATCATAATGCCAAAAAAGGAAAAGATCAAACAGCAATGGAAAATAAGAGGATGTTGATCACCAAACAAGTGGGGAATATGGATTAGTGTTCAAGTGAGAGGATAAAAGGTAAAATAAATGATGAGTATTCAGATAATGAACCAGAGTCACTTCAAGATTTCATGGCATTCTTTCTCTAAGATTTCCTCTGAACAGTATATTCATTCAAATGTGTAATGTCTCCCCCATAGCATGGTCTTATAACTTCACACAGATTCTAATGTGGTGAGTCTTATGACTGGCAAGTCTTATTATTACAGACAGGTTGAGGTAGGATAGATATATTCCCTGTAACTGAAAGTGTGTGAGGATACAGAAATCATGTTATATCTCGTGTGTGTGTGGAAGGAAGGAAGGGTGTGTGTGTGTGTGTGTGTGTAAGGGTGTGGGTGTATTTGTGTGGAAGGGTGTGTGGGTGTGTGTGTGTGGGTGAGTGTGTGTGTGAAAGAGTGTGTGTGTGTGTGTGTGTGTGTGTGTGTGTGTGTGTGTGTGTGTGTGTGTGTGTGTGTGTGTGTGGGTGTGTGGGAAAGTAAGTGTGTGTGTGTGTGTGTGTGTGTGGGGGGGTGTGTGTGGAAGGTGGTGTGTGTGTGTGTGTGTGGGAAGGGGTGTGTGTGTGTGTGTGTGTGGAAGTGTGTGTGGAATGTGTGTGTGGAAGGGGGGTGTGTGTGTGTGAAGGGGGTGTGTGTGTGTGTGTGTGTGGAAAGGGGGGTGTGTGTGTGTGTGGAAAGGGGTGTGTGTGGAAAGTGTGTGTGTGTGTGTGTGTGTGTGTGGAAAGGGGGTGTGTGTGTGTGGAAAGGGTGTGTGTGTGTGTGTGGGAAAGTGGGTGTGTGTGTGTGTGTGTGGAAGGGGTGTGTGTGTGTGGAAGGGTGTGTGTGTGTGGAAAGGGGGTGTGTGTGTGTGTGTGTGGAAGGGGGTGTGTGTGTGTGGGGGTGTGTGTGTGTGTGTGTGTGTGTGTGAAGGGTGTATGTGTGTGTGGAAGGTGTGTGTGTGTGTGTGTGTGTGTGTGTGTGTGTGTGTGTGTGTGTGTGTGGAAGGGTGTATGTGTGTGTGTGTGTGTGTGTGTGGAAGGGTGGGTGATTGGGTGCAAGGACATTTTTCATACAGTACTAAGTAAAAGTTTGGTTATACCTGTATACTGTACATTACAATGTATTTATTTACTCAGGTAATAATTATCCAAGATTGAATTAACACAATACTAGGGAGCTCTTCCCCTTAAAGTTTTAAGAAGTGGGTGTTCAAATTTGCGTCTGAGTGATTTGCAATCATTCTCGCTGCTCCTGTTTTGTATAAATATTCAGAATCAATTATATAAACTGATTGGGGAGTGTGGTGGTTCATTACAGTATTTCTGGGAAGGTTGAGATGTTCACATACAGTAAGTGAAGGGCGTTGTTGTACACTGTCATGGTCGGAGTCCAGTGTCATCATGGATATTAAATTAGTAGTACAGTACAGTATTATCTTTATCAGATTCTTATTAAAGTTTGAAGTGTCCATTGCCAGGAAGCCCCAGGCTCGTGTGCGTTTCATTTGCTCATTCTAAAGCAACAGTGAGGACAGATGTAACAGTGGAAGAGTCTGGCAGGCAAGAGATAGTTCAGCCATGGGACTCACTCACCTGTGGTCAAGAAGATTGGTCAGGTGGTAACGTCTATGGGACCTGTTGTAAAGACCAAACAAAACAACAAGTCAGTCAGGCACACCGGACAAGTGAAGCCGGGCATGCACAAGTCGGGAGCGTCCCTTGTCAGTCAGGAGTGGCATTCATGAACATTAAAAAAAAAAACTGTTGTCAATAGACTATGAAAGGTACTTGAATGCATTGCAGTCTTTGTCAGTTATTAGTGTTTTTGGTATAGCTTATTAAATACATTAATTATACCTTTTTTCTTCATGCATCTCGAATGCCACTCGTATTGTGATGCACAGTCATCTGCCATGCAGATGACTGTTTGTACATCACTAACTTTGGAATACATGATCACTACAGATTAAAAACAATGTAAACATGCACTGTATACCTGTTAATGGGGTGGGGATCATAACTGGTGTTAGGAATGATGGTGGTTAAAATGGTCTAAAAATTGTTTCAATTTTTTTACCATATCTTCCCATTCTGCTCTTTTGCTTTCTTTTTTCCAAAATTCCTTTCTCCCTCCAGCTTCCCTCCTATTCCTATCTTCATGTTTTCCCTCCTACTCCTCCCTTTCTTATATCTCCTTATTTTCTCTCCTTTCTACTTTAGAGTATGCATAGGTCCAAGTTCTTAACCCTTATGCCCCAGGTTAAGGTGCTGCTGGCAGTAACGGTAGTCATCAGAGTTGAGAAGTTTTGAAAGTTTTTAAAAATTTTGATCATGATGATCATCAAATTAAGATCATTGGGATGATAAGAACGTGCAAGTTAAAATAATAATAATAATCAAAAGTACTGCATCTAATTCTTGCATATGTTACTTCACCTATAATTTACAAGTCATACACAAATCATTATATCAATTTAAAATATAAAGATTAAAATAGTTTTCTTCACATTACTTACAAAATAAAATGCACTTCCAAAGTTTTAGTACAATAACAAATTCAGGCACTTTTGAGTTCAATAACTTCTCAAAATCTATGATCAGTATATCCACATTACAGGGAAGTGGTCAAGTTGATTATACTCATAAATACACAGTGGAGCAGAGTTAACTAAAGGTTTGCAAGTATAAAGAGAGTGGAGGAGACGGAGAGGGCATGCAGAGAGATATGCAGGTACTAGTGGTTTGGGAAGAGTGAAACTGCACTGCAATTCCTTCATCAGCTATGGTTGCACAAGGGCCTGACTACTGTACTGTACTGTACTGTACTGTACTACATAGAAATCAATAAACGCTGTTCTTTGCGAAAGCATGTGTTGTCTACTTACTCTGCCTGTTGCTACGGACTGGTTTTGGAATAAATTTTGTCAAAACATAATTTAAGTAACCTCCGTCCCTTTCAACAATTAGTATGATATAGGAATACTTTCTTAGTCTAGCATATTTATCATTGCACTAAACTGCTACTGTATTAGAAAATTTTATACAGACAATTGTACTTTATCATCACCTTGAGCTCCAAAGGTGTGGATGAATAGTCCACTAAATACTGTAGCATAGAGGATCATGCAAATCCAGCTTGAACACAGAAGTCAAATGAAATGTAGAATTTTTTTTCCTCATAAGGGTAATAAACTTTATTACCAGCTGCTTTAGGTAACAAAAGCAGTTAGAATGATATTAACTGAGAGATAAATTTTACAAACCTACTGCAACAAAAACTGCAAGTGACTTTGCATTCAATCAACCCAAAATTTCAAGTACCTACAGTTCTCACTCTAATTCACATGTAAAACAAGTTTCAGGCACAGACCAAACACCGTGATTGTTTTATTCCTTTGCTCACTGAGTCGCAGAGATAAATGGGGAATTTGATTTATAAATATAATGGCGCCATAGGAGGCAGTCTTGTTGAGTACACTTTTCAGCTAGGAGCGTCTAGTGGGGGACCAAGAGGGAAGAGATAAGGGGTATCCACTGGCGTGACTCATTAAAGCACAAGAACACAGACACTACGTTGAATATCATGGCTAGAAAAGTGACCTATTTGATCGATAAATATATACCCAAGACCAAACCCAGTGCCTCTAGGAATACGAGAAGATCCCTACACATGAACCATGCGGCAGTCGACAAAAATTAAGGATGTGGATTGGGTCAAACGATGAGCAGGACAGGAGGATGTATGCAAGAGCCAGAAACCAAGCAAAGATAGAGTGTAGAAGGGCTGAAAAGGAGTTCCAGAGGCTGGTTGAAAGCAAGGTCAAGTCAAACCCAATGGCATTTTACCTCAATGCAAAGTCGAAATTAAAAACGCGAGTAGGATTATCAGACCTGAGGCTTGAAGATGGTAGTTACACAGGTTCTGACCAGGATAAAGCCGAGGCATTGAACAGCTTCTTTTCCTCAGTGTTCACAAGAGAGGATGCAATTAACCTTCCAGCATTTGAGGATAGAACTGACCCACATTGTGTTCACATAAGAAGGTATACCGGGTAAAAAATAAACTGTCAAAAGTTAAAGGTCCATAAGAGTCCCAGCCCTGACATGGTGCATCCTAGAGTGCTAAGAGAGTTGTGCAACGAGCTTGCTGAGCCCTGAAGAGCCTGTTTTGTAAATACCTGGATGAACAAAAGGTCCCCAGTGAATGGAAAGTGGCTTATGTGAGTCCTATCTTCAAGAAGGGCGATCGTCACTCCACGAACAATTATAGACCGGTGAGCCTGATCAGCATAATATGTAAAATACTTGAGAGTATTATCAGCGATGCCGCGATGGAATATCTACTACGAAACAACCTTGGAAAGGATTGCTAACATGGTTTTATGCCAGGGCGCTCCTGCTTAATGCAATTGCTCAAGGTATTGGACATTTGCACCCAAATTCTGGAACGGGGTGGTAATATGAACAATATATACCTAGATTTTGCCAAGGCTTTTGACAGTATGCCCGATGAAACGCTGAAAATCAAACAGGAGAGGTATGGAAATCGGGGAAATATCCTAGCATGGATAGAAGACTTTCTACATGACCGCAAGCAGTGTGTGGTGATTAATAGCATGAAATCATCGTCCGTACCTGTCACAAGCGGGGTACCACAGGGCAGCGTATTGGGCCCGCTGTTGTTTGTTTGTTTCATAAATGACATGCCTGACGTTGTACACTCCTCCATACAAATGTTTGCCGATGACGCCAAGTTATTTCGGGAAATCAAGAACCAAGCGGACTGTGAAGAGCTCCAGAAGGATCTCTGTGATCTCCAAGAATGGTCAAAGAAATGGCTGCCGAGATTCAATGTCACAAAGTGTAAGAGGATGTACCTGGGGAGTACGAACGGTAAGGAGGCGTATCGTATGTCCCAAAGGGATGAAGAAACTGCACTATTTGAGATTGAATGTGAGAAGGACCTAGGTGTGTACGTTGACAATGAGTTGAAGTTCTCGGGCCATTGCGAGAAGAAGGTAAATCAGGCAAATAAATTATTGGGTCTTATAATAAGGTCGTTCAGATATCTAGACAGTCCGTCCCTCGTAACGATCTTCAAGAGTGAAGTGCTTCCCCATCTGGAGTACTGTCACCCCGTCTGGTCCCCGAGATATACTAGCGACTGTCAGTTGGTTGAAAATGTTCAAAGGAGGGCCACCAGACTGGTGCCTGCACTTCGGCACCTCAACTACCCTGAGAGAATGGAGTGCCTGAACTTTCCGAGCTTATACTGCAGACGAGCAAGGGGCGACCTAATTGAGGTGTATAAGCATCTCAAGGGGCACTACTCAGTCGAGTGTCCTTACTTGGAGCTGGCAGATGCTCGCCCCACAAGGGGTCACAGCTCAAGATTGAAGAAGCCTCAAGTCCAGAAAACTGTGAGGGCAAACTTTTTCGGAGTGAGAGTTGTGAACTCTTGGAACAATCTACCAGAAATTGTTGTGATGGCACCAAGTGTGAGCTCTTTCAAGACCAGACTTGGCCAACACTGGAGCAGGTTCAGGTACATTTAGGAGCTGGTGCCTGCCCAGTACTTGCCAACAGTGCGTAACAGAGACGTGACCGATCGCCCAGGCAACTAATGAGCCGATCATTCGGTGAGGAGGATAAAAAAAAAAAAAAAGTAACAGACGTAACTGATCGCCCAAGCGGCTAACGAGCCGATCAGTGGTGAAGAGGATAAAAGTGAAAAGTAAAAGTAAGAGCTGGGTGTAGATATAGGTTTGGAGTATGTGCATGTGGAAAGTGTGAATGCTAATATAGATAATGATTGCAGGTTTGGAAGTCTAGAGGGTGTAGATATGGATGTATAGAGGGTATGGGTGTATAGAATGTATGGGTCTGGATATATAGAGGGTGTGGGAATGGTGTATGCATTATGGGTGTGAGAGTACACTAAAAAATGCAGAGTAAAGAATCTTTGTACGCTATTATATTGTGGATTTAAGACGTAACACATTAAATAGGTCGTAGCCACAGGGTGTCTGGATTAGAACACTTTTTTTTCTTTCAGAGGCAGAGAGAGGAGTGTGAAATGGCAATGTAGACAAAAGAGAACATCTAATACAACAGAAAGAATGATATTACAAAATTGACCCTATGTATGAATATGAAGAATTTAGTTAAGGCAATTGGTCAACAATACAATATAAAATGAAGTCTGTTGAGATCTATGCTGACACTACCTGTATTAACACAGACTTTCATCCATGTGAAAAACAGTTTCTATGGGCATACAGTACAGAGGACAAAAGAAACCATTTTTACCACATGCACAGACAAGTTCTTCAGAAGAACACGGTTACGAGAGAAATATCAGCTGGGACACTACTGTACTACAATGTTGCGAGTTGCTGACAGAACTCCTTCAGAACTACTATCATGCAAGTGCCATTCTAACAGTAAATGAGTCTTCAGGGGGTGATGTTAAATTAGGTAACAAAAGGAACAGAATTTCTGAAGATCGGGTGCGGTAGGTTGACAGTGGCTCGTCTTGGTGAAGTTCAAAGTGTAATTACCAAGAAGGCCATTAATGTGTTGCTGTACCTGTTTACGGGAACTGAAGCGCTGTCGAGATGGCTGCACTAGACCACGGATGGGGTCAAGGAAACTGCTGAAGGGGTTTCTATTAGTTTTCTTTGGCTTTCCCCCGAGAGTTGCTGAAGGGCGGACAGGCCTGTGATCAGCAGTGATGGGGAGGACATTGTGTGAGGGTGGCTGTGAATGTGGTGGGGAGGGAGGGAGGGAGCTTGTGTCAAGGTGAGAAACAGCATCATTTGAAAATACTAGTCTGAATCCATCCTCATCGTTCTGAGATAGAGATGGTGAGAACTGCTGGAATCCAGAAGCCTGTGGGTGATGGGGTTGTTGTGGCAGAGGCTGTTGCTGTTGAGGCTGAGGACCCTCTTCCTCACGCAGACTAACCTGCTGGGAAAACCGATGTGGCGAGAACTGTGGCTGGTTCTCTTGGATAACAGGAATGGCCACCGAGGGAATTTTGAACTCCTCCATGAAGGTACCAGCAACTGAAAGATTTTATATTATCTGAGACCAGTTGTTTACCCTCAAGGGAGAGAAAAATCTACACTTCTGGAAGTATGAAATTTTGGAATAATATTCACTCTCATTGGTCATAGTTACAATACGGTACGGTAATAACAAATCCTTATTGCTAACCAAATTTCTGGACTTCCTAACAAGCAGAAAAATACTTTTTTCAAGATTGTTGCAACAATTAAATGAAATTTAGGGTTGACCTACTGACATCCCTCATTAATGCTGTTAAGCGGGTTACTGAAAAATTATGCCACGAGTGAAATTAGCAGTTGTGAGCTATTGTTTCAATGAAAAATATGGGAAAGTGTTCCAACCCCCTCTACCAGATCACCTATTGCACACATAGTCCATATAAAAAATTTAAGACATTACACTCTGGACAGATTTAATATAAAGTACAGTCAGCACTGTCATAATCTACACAACTATATTCTTTATGTAGACCTAATGAGCAAATTTGCTGAACTTAATTCCACTATTCTGCCACAAGTCGACTGAGGGCCATGTCAGCACACATGTGTTTAGGATGAACAAAAGTACAGTACAGATAGTATACTGTACTAAACACCATATATTTATATTCCAATACCTTAATATCCGGTGGGTGACGGGGAAGCAGCCGACTCTGCTGCAGATTACAACTTCTAAGGCGAGTGTAAATGGGTTGCTAGTGACGTGAAAAGTGAAGTGAAGAGAATGGAAAGCTTAATGGAAAAGACTTAATGCTGTAACTAATATTTTTGGTCTTCGTTTATGTAGGTGTGGGATTGTTAAGTGAGGGTGGTAGTGTGGCGTCTGCTGCCGAGTCTGGTTTTCCCGAGTCTGGTGTTTAGTGATATTGAAATAGTCTGTTGTTCCCGAGTTTAATAACTTTTTTTGGCCTCCAGAACTTAACCCTATTTTCCCCATTGATTATGTGTAATTATATACCGCAATTTAGTATACCCTGTATAGCGAACATCGTTGGACCCTATCTCGCGATATATCCCGACCCTACTGTATACTGACATTCTCCAGTCATATTGTAACAAAGTAATTCAATATTGTCAATGAAATAGCTAATTTCGGCCTACCAAATTAGGTACAAAATGTCTCGCATTCAGGCCTAGCAAACCTCGCAAGGCAATGGGAATGTTCAGTTGGAAAATCATCGAACCCTACCTGTACGGTAGTTTTTTACCAAGTGTACATAGATCTTTTGTGGTCGGATGGAAAAAATTAATAATCTGTGTACTCAACCTGGACACGTTCATCAGAACGCACAATTTATACCACTATTACCTAGCAAAATAGAATTTTTTGAAAACTTTTCCTCTAACTAATTTTTTGCTAAATATGAATGCTTTATAGTGGGATAAGGTTCATATTGCAATTACATTAAAAAACAAAGGTATAAAGTGATGAATTAACATTTTCATTGTGCGTAAACAAATTTTTTTGGTTTTACTCGCACTTACGTATAGAAATAATTATTTTATTGTGATTACTTATATGACACTGTTTGTAGATAATTTAGTTACACTCCTAACCCAACAAACCCCACCTTTTTATCTCAAATAAAAAGCTTGCTATGACTCATGTGGTGCAGTCAAGTGTGGTGAGGTGAGTGACCGGCCAGAACCAGAGCATCTCCCCAGAGAGCACCTCCCTAAACCCAAGAGCGTCAAGGTAACAGTCAGCAAAAGTCACAGTAAAAGTAACAAAGTCAGCAAAAGTCATAGTAAAGGTAACACAGCACAAGAATAGTAAAAGTAACAGTCAGCACAATGACGCCAAGTTATTTCGGGAAATCAAGAACCAAGCGGACTGTGAAGAGCTGCTGAGATTCAATGTCACGAAGTGTAAGAGGATGCGCCTGGGGTGTACCAATGGTAAGGAGGCATAACATATGTCCCAAAGGGATGAAGAAACTGCACTATTTGAGACTGAATGTGAGAAGGGCCGAGGTGTGTATGATGACAATGAGCTAAAGTTCTCGGGCCATTGCGAGAAGGTAAATCAGGCATATAAATTATTGGGTCTTATAAGAAGGTCGTTCAGATATCTAGACGGTCCGTCCCTCGTAACGATCTTCAAGAGTGAAGTGCTTCCCCATCTGGAGTACTGTCACCCCGTCTGGTCCCCAAGATATGCTAGACTGTCAGTTGGCTGAAAAATTTCAAAGGCAGGCCACCAGACTGGTGCCTGCACTTAAGCACCTCAGCTACCCTGAGAGATTGAAGCACCTGAACTTGCCTAGCTTATAATACAGACAGGCAAGGGGTGACCTAATTGAGATGTATAAATATCTCAAGGGGCACTACTCAGTCGAATGTCTTTACTTGGAGCTGGCGGCCGCTAGCCCTACAAGGGGTCACAGCTCAAGATTGAAGAAGCCTCAAGTCCAGAAAACTGTGAGGGCAAACTTTTTTGGAGTGAGAGTTGTGAACTCTTGGAACAATCTACCAAAAAGTGTTGTGACGGCATCGAGTGTGAGCTCTTTCAAGACAAGACTTGACCAACACTGGAGCAGGTTCAGGTTATACATTTAGGAGCCGGTGCATGCCCAGTACATGCCAACAGTGCGTAACAGAGACGTGACCGATCGCCCAAGAGGCTAACAAGCCGATCATTTGGTGAAGAGTATAAAAGAAAAGGAAAAGTAATCAGAGACGTGACCGATCGCCCAAGCAGCTAACTAGCCGATCAGTGGTGAAGAGGATAAGAAAAATTAAAAAGTCATAGTAAAGGTAACACAGCACAAGTCAGAGCCAATACAACACAGCAGTGTTACCTACCATTACCCTTCTCTAACTCGCCCATAGGGCCAAAGCCCCCAATGGTGTGAAACCCAGGGAAATTGTCTGGCTTGCCTCTCATGAAGCCCAAGCTGTCCTCCCTGGCTTCTTCAGCATCTGGAAAAGTGGATCACAGTGTTACACAGCACACAGGTGAGTACTTTAAGCACAAGGTGGAGGAAAGCACAGCAGGTGGAAGAATAACATGTGGATGGTCAGTCAGTATTTACTCTGGTCACCTTCGCTCAGTATGAAAGTGGTACTTTTTCATGTTTTTTTTTTTTTTTACAAACCATCATATCAATAAGACAATTTCATCTTAGCATCATTCCTGCCAACTTCATGTTCATGGCCACGAGTTTACAGTAAATTCATATCAATTAATAGCCCCACAAACACTCGTGCATTAAATTAGAAAATGTATGCTTGAACATTGTGTCATTTAGCAAGATGATCAGAGTAAATGTAAAGTTTTTATGGTTAAGTGGGAGGGAATACACCTCAATGCCTAGACATTTTAAATAGTCAAACAACTGTCAATTTTTACTGTATTACAGCAAGCCAAGCAAGCATGAAGCGTACACATGAAATACCGAGTAATTTATTTTCCGGAGTGTTGTTAATTTTTGTAAACACTTAAAACAAAAACATTTTAATCTGTGTAGTCAGAGAAGGTCAGTGTTACTGTGCAGTCCAGGGAGTAGTCCAATAGTCACCCCACTGATTTCAGTGTGATTAATGTCAAGTGCTAGCAGTGTCAAGCATTAATTGCGTCAAGCACTGGGGGTATCAAGCTTTGCGAGGTAAAGGATAAGGAACATTAATTATTGGGGATGTCAAGGGATAGCTCCATCTAGTCACAAAGTAGTCTTTTATCATTACATGTTCAACCTGAAAAATCAAGTCATTCAACATCAGCCAGATGTGTTCACAACGTTGAGTACTGTACATGGATCTGTCAGTCAGTTTGTCGACGTTCTGCTGTGTTCCGTCGAGTCGCTGCAAGTTGGAGTCTTGCTTACCGGAGGAGACAGGTTCCTCAGAAATTCGTCGCTGGGTTACAAGGCGTCTCTTGCGTATAAGAGGAATGTCCTGTTGTCTTGTGGCCTTTGGTAGACGTCGGTTCTCCATCAGGATATGTCTAGGGGCACGAACAGAGGATGAGGGTGGAAGGATGTGGGCAGGTGGGGAAGGCCCAGGTCTAAGGCCAGGAGTGAACTGATGTAGCCGACGGAAATGCTTAGAACGAGAGAAGTGAGGGGAGTGAGGACGATTAAGAGCAGAGCGGACAGGTCCAAGACCATCATGGTCGAAAGTGGGGTTATGACTATCATCTATAAGTGAGCCATCTAAGTTGGATAAAAAGTTAGATGGTTGGTTTGCAAAGAGTAAAGAAAAATCAGGTATGTTTAAGGTCTCTCCCTTAGTGTTTTCTTTAAGAGAGGCAAGTTCAGGAGCCTGGTAGGATGGGTCTTCCCCACTGATCTCATAATCTACAATAGGTTTTCCAAACTCAACATTTCTAAATCTATGTTGCCTTTTATAAGGAAGAGGTCTGCGCCCTTCCCGATGGGATGGACGGAAGCGTCTTATTCTGAATTGAGTAGAAGACTCTTTCAGATCTGGAGGAGTTTCAATCAGCTGGGAGTCTACATCACGTTTGATGCGGGCATTGAAATTGTGAAATTTTATCGCTTGTGATGGAAACTGATCCACACCTGTGGGCTGACTATCTGAGTTAGGAAAAAGACGTACCGCGGCCAGTGAAGGGTCATCTGAGCCTATTATTGAAAATGATGGGTATGAGGCCTCAGGTTGGGGTTGAGAAGATGGTTTAGTTTTACGCACAAAACGGTTACTATTTATTCCAAATAAACTTTCAATGGACTCAGGAATCCCTCCACCATAAGGAGAATTTAAAATACCTTCGATTGCATCACTGACATCCTGTCTGCCCTGAACTAGGCTGATATCCCTACGACGTCTAATACCTATCTGATCAAAAAAATTGGGAATTACAAACGGAATTTCAAAATGGTGTGACAAGGACAGTGTGTTTAGTTCAGGTTGCTTTTTGGGCTGTTCCACAACCTGGGGAGTAAGAGGTTTAGCAGCTATTTGGGGTTGCCTAGGGAATCTATTGTTGCGCTTAAACAAACTACTAATTGAGCTCGGAACCGAACCTTCCCATGGAGTATCTATGATCTCGGTGAGCCGAGTTGACACGTCCTGCCTGGCCGTCACATCGCGCCTTTTTCTTGTCAGTCTTGCAGACTCAAAGAAGGGGTCGAGGTCTGTGAACTTGGAACTGAACTGTTGTCCTGTGAAAGAGGTGGAAGAAAAGGGCTCCTGGGTTGGGATGGGTCTTTCACGACCAGAAGGAGACTGGTGTGAGGACTGTGGCGGCGGACGAGAGAAGGATGGCGAGGATGAAAACTGTGGCAGAGAATGGGAGAAAGATGGTGAGAATGAAGACTGTGGTGGAGGATGTGAAAAGGTTGAGGATTGTGGTGGAGGACGGGAGAAGGATGAAGACTGTGGTGGAGGACGGGAGAAGGATGAAGACTGTGGTGGAGGACGAGAGAAGGATGGCAAGGATGAAGACTGTGGTGGAGGACGAGAGAAGGATGGCGAGGATGAAGACTGTGGTGGAGGATGAGAGAAGGATGGCGAGGGTGAAAACTGTGGTGGAGGACGGGAGAAGGATGAAGACTGTGGTGGAAGATGAGAGAAGGATGGCGAGGATGAAGACTGTGGTGGAGGATGAGAGAAGGATGGCGAGGATGAAGACTGTGGTGGAGGATGAGAGAAGGATGGCGAGGATGAAGACTGTGGTGGAGGATGAGAAAAGGATGGTGAGGATGAAGACTGTGGTGGAGGTTGAGAAAATGATGGTGGGGCAGGAGAGAGTTGAATGAGAGGTTTATGAATCACCTGAAAGTTAGGAGGTCTATTCAGTGGATGAGGTTGAGCATGGGAGAGAGAACTAGGAGCGGTGTGCCGTTGGGGACGAAAAGACTGGGACTGGAATCTCTGAGGGGAAGAGGTTCCAGAAGGTGGAGAGAAAGCCTCGGAGAAGGATGGTGAGGATTGGGGTGAAGTGGGGCGTGAGGATTCCGCAGACTGTCTGGGGGGCCGGACGTTGACGTTGCGGAGGAGAAGAGCCTGGAGGTGGTTGGTGGCATGGGAAGCCCCGTAAGGACTGCTCAGTATATTGTCGATGGCTGATGTGACCCCAACTTGTCGTTTATATCTTCCTGCAGATTGTCGATGGAGGACAGACAAGAAGAAAAGTCAGCTCACTGGTATACCATGATGGCTAAGGGGAGAGGACAAGTCTAGTGTTGGTTGTGTGCATGTGTTCTGCTGCTTTATCTCTGGTTGGGTAATATGAAGCTGATCATGACAAAAATTTTTAGAGCTAGTGATGTGAAGTCTTGTGGCAAAGAGAATTTTACAAAGTCACATTTTGTCAAAGTATTCTTGAGTGATTTAAAAAAATTACTCCAGGAATGTAACCGGTATGATTTGTGTGAGTGTGTTTATGTACTTGCAGGTGCAGTATGGAAGTAGCTATATAATTAATAAGTAACAGTGTGGTTTAACATCGAATATTACCTTAAAAGATCCTAAATTATTGTTACCTTTTAATTAAGACATTAGATCATGGCTATAGTGACACTTTTATACAACATCAGGTGTCCAAGGTTTCACATTCACTGATTAAGTCAATCATATGTACAGATAAAATTAACTATGTACAGCTGACCATGCACAAAAGTAAATGGTAACTAAGAGCACTTAAAAGGTTTAAGTACACATTGTTATGGTGATCATGTGTAAGGCATCACAAACATGTGTCTGGATAGGGAGAGTTTAGGAAGATATGAAGTGATATAACTGAAGAAGTTTAGATTCAGTGATGAGAATTTGTCAGTCACAGCATAGTCAATACCTAAAACATCATCTTAAAGGTAATGCAGTCTAAAGATTAATATTCAAATTAATATGGAAGAAATTTGGTGTGTGTGTGTGGGTGTATTAAACTTACTGAATGTGCATCTGAGTGAGTAACTCATTACACTGCTTCACACTAACTTTTGACCCTGACTGGTCAAAAGTTAGTGTGAAGCAGTGTAATGAGTTATGAGAAAGTCTCTCCAAACTTCCTTACCCTGACTGTCATCTGGTGCAGGTTTGCTGTTTTGTCTCATTTAAGTTCAATGATGCTTCACACGGATTTGTGACCCCGAGTCTACAGTTGCCTCCATTTATAACAGGTACAGTGGCTGGCATGTTTTGTGAAATGTAAAACCACCACCCACCAGACAACAGATAATGACATTCTATTTGATAATCAATATAAAGATTATAACCATGCAGGAAATGCATACATTCACAGATAGAGGGATGACTTATTATTTAGTAACCTTGGTCTGTTTACTACAGCAAGAGTAGTTCTGCCCATTCTGCTAGTTTTACTATGGTATAAACAAACAGTGGTGACTCAACTCACAAAACATGGCACCCACTGTACCAATTATAAATGGAGGCAACTGCCTATGTGTGCATAACTCTGTGTGTGTGTGTGTGTGTGTGTGTGTGTGTGTGTGTTTGTGTGTGTGTGTTTGTGTGTGTGTGTTTGTGTGTGTGTGTTTGTGTGTGTGTGTTTGTGTGTGTTTGTGTGTGTGTTTGTGTGTCTGTGTTAAAAGTTTGTGTAAACATGTGTATAATAATGCATGTACTGTATAAATGTGAATACATGCATGCATGCATGTACAGTACATACTTATGTGTATGCTTCAATGTTAATGCTTTTGCTTTTATACTGTACTCATTGAATTAACAAACTCATTTTAAGGACGCAGGAATGGGTTTCACTTCAAAATGATGAAGTCTTTTTTATTATTATTATACGCAGTAAAAAAAAAAGTATGCAAGGATTATGTGCGGAACAATATGACACCACGGGCGAGGGATAGTGGAATATGCACACCAACCCATGGCACATCAGGTCATGTATGGTTCATTTCGGAAGTTAGCAGACTTCCCGTGTGATACTTTTCTTACTATAAATATACAGTGGTTCCTCGATTAACGAACACAACTGGTTCCACATAGTCGTTCGTTAACGAAAAATTTTGGTAACTGAATCTATTATTTCAATGGGATATTGGGTAATTGGTTCCAACTCACAGAAAAAGTACATACAAAGTACATGTACTGTAAACCAGTAATAAAATTAACAAAACATTAAACATAAACTAAATACAGTACTGTATTGTACAGTATATTGTACAAAAAATAAAACAACAGAATACTATAATTTAACTTATTTTGAGGTGTGTATGTCGTATTCCCGGCAGCTTTGTTTACATTTCAAACAGCTGATTGTAGAGGCAGTCGATGGTGACCTGCCATATTCTTTACAGAGTGCATTGGTTCTAATGCCTTCTTCACGTTTCATAATAATTTCTGCATTGTATGTTATCAATATGTGAACTAAATTTCAGAATGACCAATAATTTTAAAATGAAAATGCAAAAATATTCACGATACTCCTCCTCGTGTTTTTAATTTTGACTTTGTTGCATAGCGGTAAAACGCCTTTGGGTTTGACTTGACCTTGCTTGAAACCAGCCTCTGGAACTCCTTTTCAGCCCTTCTACACTCTGACTTTGCTTGGTTCCTGGCTCTTGCATACATCCTCCTGTCCTGCTGACTGTTTGATCTAACCCATGCCTTAAATTTCTGGGCTTTCTTAACTTTGTCGACCGCCGTATGGTTCATGTGTGCGGGCAAATATTTATATAAGTTGGCCTTTGCCGGTTTTAAGAACCTCACCGCTAGAGCAATGTTGAAACAGTATATTACTGCCTTTGCTCTTAGCAACTTTTCCTGCTGTTCTTTCATTAGTTCAATCTTACTATGAGCCTTTTTACATCTTTTTGGCATGTTCACAGTCTTTCACCACTAATAAAAATGATAAACATTGAGCACACAATATTTCACGTGTTGCTTAGGACTCATTCACCTTCTCACACATGTGCATTGTAGTAGGTGCTAAAATTATATGGCAGGAAGAAATAAAATAAAAGAAAGTATATTTAAATAGCATTCCCAAGTGGAGGCATTTAATTGTGACCTAGTGACTCATGCCCGAGCGACTGATGTAAAGAGTCTGGGCCACCCACAAAACTTAGTTTATTTTAATTATTTGAAATAATAAACTTGTCATATCACTCTGAAACTTTTTGCAGGTGTTGGCAACGTGTTGACATATTTCGAGACTTTTCCCTAAATTTTTATATTTTATTTCGACTCCAAAGCTTCCCTGCGTCCTTTAAGTGTAAACTTACCTAACAAAATAGCAGTGTAACCCATTGAAATGAGAAAATTGGTTTTCTCTAACATTCATTCTCAATTTTATCTCCAAAATTACTTCATCGCAGAATTTGGAAACTATGTAATCTGTGTACGGGCTAAAAAATATTCAATTCATAATAATACAGTAATGATATGCAACAAACAATGTGAATTATATATATATATATATATATATATATATATATATATATATATATATATATATATATATATATATATATATATATATATATATATATATATATATATATAATAACTTGCATTCTACTAAACACTGACTACAACTGAATCTGGAATATATAGCAGAAAACAAATTAAGACTGGTTTAGGGGTAAATATTACTTAAAATTTACATGTGTAAAATCCACCAAACCCCAATCACAAAATTAATACAACCATCAAAGTATAAATTATCCTCCTTCAGATTCAAAACAACATGCCCGGAATGACTAAATTATTGTACAAAAAAAAACCACCAGATCAAGTTATGGACTGAAGCAGAGCTCATACTTGCAAAGTCTCCCATGAACTCTTTGGTGGGGAGATTTCTGGAGAAGATATCCGTGAAGCCGTTGTCGAAGGTCTCCCTTGTTAAATCCTCGCGTCCCTCAAGCACCACCTTCTCCCTACGGAAAAAATCGGGATAAAAATATCAGACTGACACACGATACAATCGTAAAGGGGAACTTTGAAAATCTATAAACAAAATTATAGTTCAAACGTGTATATACTTTGTTTATGTGGTTACTTTTGAAAAGTTTTTCATATTACCTGTGAAAATGGGCCAAATAAAATGAAATCTGCTCTTGACTGATAAGATATGTAATAATCCCGGCAGTGAAAGCAATAACCTAAAACTCTCTTATATCATTAAAGAGCAGATTTGTTTTTATTTGGCCCATTTTCACTATTTCCCTACAAGACAAGCACTTTCATAGGTTTCATAAAATTTTAAATTATTCTACTCTCAGCCGATTTATTTACAATATAATTATTTATCACTATGAAACATTTGGACAATATATAATAATGGTGCTACACATTAAACATCATCACCGACACACATTTTATTTGCCTTTCCCCCGGGTCTTAATAATCTTGCCTTTCACTCCGAAATCAATTGGCTTGTTTGTATCCCTCAAGATAACAAACTCCCTACAGCGGTATGACGAAGATAGAAGGTATAAATGCAAGTGTGGAAATCATAATGTTTAAAGACTGACACAACGCAAATTGGTGCTACTCTGCAAAGACGTGAATTATTCCATCTTTTCCTATTACATTTATATCTCCAGAATAATTGTAAGTGAAAATAAATATAAATATATATATATATATATATATATATATATATATATATATATATATATATATATATATATATATATATATATATATATATATATATATATTATAACATACACTATGAAAAATAATACGGTTACCAAGAACTGTCCGAAATATCAATTTGTTATTCCTAGTTTGTCTCTTTCTAATCTTATCTTTATTCAATAATTATTGTCTACTTGACAATCAGATATAGCTTTCCAGTCAAATAATATCTACATACACTACATGCTTCATTATTCACAGCTTCTGCTCGGCACTCCATGTGCATACAATCAAAAAAATATCTTTAATTCTGTAATAGACAATAACTGTGATAAAAGAGATGAAGGATCTGACAACCCTACCGAGACAACCGAGTTGCGGTGTTCGTTTTGAAATTCATTGGCCTATCCATAAAGATGTTTTTTGAATGCTTGTACTGAACTGTACTGTACAATTTCCTAATATAACTCCTCTCACCCACATAATGTATCCGTCTACCTTGTTTTCCGCCAAACGCTTCCTCTACAGTACTATATTATCTTTATAAATTCCCAAACATTAAAACATGATCAAGTCAGTCTCCATGCTCAGTACTTACTTAGAGTCGCTCGGCCGATCTGGAAAGAGATGTAAAAACATATTAATGATGTGAGTTGAGCAAAATCTGAAGCTTTAAGTGTGGGAATAGTCAGTTATATCTTTAATGTTTAAACAACAACTGTGATATTACACACACATACAGAAACGTGCGACGCGGGAAAAGCAGAGGCACTGTCAGAAAGTTGCCTAATTAGAGCACCATTTGACAAATGTTGGTGGGGGGGAAGTAATGGTGGTGTTATTACTTTTTTGCGGCCAAAAGAACTTAAGTGGTTTTATTATTGTTAGGATGAATTTTCTTCATTACTCGTTACTATTATCAAAATCTAAGTTCTCTTGCTAACAAGTTTTTTTATTAACTATTATAGATTTTTAACATCCTAACTGTGGAAGATCATGAACAAGATATAATCTTTTTTTATCACCCAACACCAGGGAAATAGAATAACGAGAGTCCGTTTTCAGCAGAGGATGAATTGTGGAGAATAGAAATTAACGACATTATGGTGATTTCTGCCTTCAAACACGAGTCGGCAATAAAACAAACATTGTGGTGAAAACACTTGTGAACACCGCCGCCAGATGGTAGTAGAGATAGAGCACTTTTGGCGACAAGAAGCACTAACCATGTGAACTACAGGAACATATGCATGTAGGTCAGATCACTGTATCGTTCTGGACAGGGGCTATTATAAGACTAAAATAATGATACACATGCGGCTGGCACTCAGACCCCAGCAAATAGACAGCAAAGAGACATATGGTACAAATTGGGCATATTTCATTAATATGGTAAGTAAAAAGAAGAGCAAGATAAATTTAGAAAGCAGTGTATTCTTCCTAAATGTTAATAACCTACTGTACTGATTTTAATAACATACACAGTGAAGTTTTAATGATGCTCACTTGCGACTAAATACTGTAGCATAACGCACAAAGTGTGCAATAATACACGCTAAAATAACCTAATGGTTCTGGATGTAGTGACTCAGTGCATGTTAACAAAAGTTCAGTAAACTATAGACCAGGGAAAGCGAATGGTTATCAGAACAAATAAACAAACATCCCTACCCCCCCCCCCCCACACAAATGGGTAACATTCCTACAAATACTGTATTTAAAAGAAAATCGTAAATGTAAATAAAATTTTGCCTGAAGTAAAGTGAGGCACACCTTGCCACAATTCCTGCCACTCAGTCATTCCTGACAGCATAACGATGGAGTTACTCTCACAAAGCCCTTATTTCGACAAAACCCCTGCACTGACGCCTTTCTCACCGAGTGTTGTCTTCAGGCATAGTGGATACAAACAAATTATAGTCCATGGTCACTCGAGCGATAAGACCAAGGGTCTTTGAAGAAAGGATAGCCTAGCGTCAAATTGTAAATGTGTTCTAAGTGGCAGAGGCTCTTCTCAACATTTCCGTATGTGTGGCAACAGCGGCTCACTCCACCTGTTGACGCAAGGTGACAGTCGTCGCACATGGCGGCCTGCTCATTACACTTTCACACAACTTCGCGTTTGTACGTGAAGAAGGACTGGATGTACTTTTGAAACAATGTGAATTTGTAATTTAATGTGTCAGCTATATCTTTTATATTACTTTGTTTATAATTTTTCTCGTGAATTTGTCAGATTTTTTTACCAAGTGTAGAACAGAGAAACTACGCTAGTAAGGGCTGGCTGGCCACTGCGTCAACAATAACACTCCCGTCTGGCCACTACCGTACCAAGACCATTCCCAGTGATGTGGCACATTTTAGCTTTCACTTCTCTCAGGTGTTTACGATTTTCCATCCATACTGTTCTCTAGATGTGAAAGCGAGAGATAAAAATAAACAACAATTAATAAACGCGGTCCTCAAGTTGTCATACGAGTACATAAACCGTACGTCTGTATGACGTTCATTTCCGGCACCGAACATCCAAGATGAATTCCATGAAATAAAAACATAAGATATAAAAATAATGTCTGAAAACAGGGAAAACTGTATCTATGTATATTAAACATCATAATGGGATTAAGTGAACTGGTTGCAATTGAGGTTGAGGATCGTTTACATAGTCCCATAAAAAAGCCATTCTGTAGTCACAAATATGGCATTCAGGCCTTATAATTATGCGATCGTCTTTTATGTGATGCTTCCATTACCACTAAAGAGGCGGAGTTGGTGAACCATAACAGGCTGGGGTGTACTGGAAGATCCCGCCTTTATGGGAGGTAGATTTATATACTTGAACATCTTAAAGAGTAAAGGGCATTTTGTTATCAAGGTAATGGTGTTACGAATACGGGAACATATTTACGATTCATGGTTTAGTAAAAAAGAAAAGAAAAAAAAGGTCAATTCTGAGGGGATGCTAGACTATCTTTCAAGTCTGCCTTCTCTATCCGGCCACATGTACAGTATCTACCTACTTGTATATCTAACTATGTGCATGCATATATACCCTGTACAGTATATATGCATATGTACAGGTGAGGACAAAATTCCCTGGACACATGGCAGTATCTGGCATATAAATACTTGGGGATCATTAGGTGAAGGGAATTGGAATTTAAAGTATTTTATAAAAATTTTCTCTATTAGTTTTTTTTTCCATTTTGTGGTTCCGGTATAATGTATGATGACAAGCAGCGTTATTACTTTAGATATACACCAGAATTGATGCCAGATACTGCCAGGTGTTCAGGGATTTTTTTTCGCATCTGTACACTCGGTAAAATGCTATACTGTACTTACAATTCTTGTGCGAAACAAAATGACAACACGACGAAGGTTTTGGTAAAGGTCCATGAGGCATACTGTTATTCACCAATCACATTGGAACGAATTAATTTTATATTTCGAATGAAATAACTAAATTAGACCTACCATAGGTAGGAAATGTCTCGGTTCCAAATTCATCGGAGCCTCCTGAATTATTTTTTTGTTTACCGAATGTATATTGAATACATATACCAGTACATATTTGCTTAATTTTATTAAAAATTTTAGCACAATTCGTAATGGTGACACTCCAAGAATCCATTAAATGAAGATGTCTTTATGAAATTAGTGTGAGGCTTTGAAGATGGATGCATGTTGGGGAAGTGCAACTCCAGTGAGGGAATATGAGTGAGAGCAAAGAAGTACGCGAAGAAAAGAAGGGTTTGCGGGATGATACACTATGTGAAGCGAGATTGTGTTATCGTATCAGACAAGTTAACGCCAAACGATTGTATTCAGCAGAGAGAGATCCCCGCAGACAAGGTGTTAAACAGAAATAAGCGTCCCAGACAAACAAATCCAAATATTACAGTGAAATCAGTCAGATCAAAAACAAGCAGACAAGAGTGAAGTTTGCGGCGTCTCCCCCCGCAGGCCTGAGGCAGGGGAAAGTTCACACTACCGCAAGACTCAATTTGAGGGACCGCCGGCTGGTGACGCCCCCGAGAAACAGTCTATATCAACTCCACCTTTCACTGCCTCTCTTCCTTAAGTACACCATTAACTTCGTAGTGTAGGTATATTAAATTTCCAAAGTGGCAGTTTTAGTATCATTTAAAATATTGCTACCGATAAGCACCAAAAAGTCATTGGAAACTGCAGTCGTTAGCATATTAAAATGAACAGCTCGTTAAACTATTTCTTTAGTGAACATATAACTTAAAAGATATAAACCTTTAAAGTGGTTCAAATCAACAATGATATATACCACATATATAAGCTGCAGTACATTATCTTTTTTGTTTAATCTTCATAAACAACGTGGTAAAAAGTTTTAAGATTCATCGATTAGGCATATCCTGATTTGTCCCAGGCAGTGAGGCACAATGGACGGAAGCACCTACGGCGGCGGCGCGTGTCGCTACGTCTTGACTCTATAAAGAATGACTTTCTTGGCTTTGTTATGCAGATGAAGACTCGCCCATTGTGTCGTGTCATCAGTTTATTTGCTTAGCGTCACAACAGTAATGTTTTATTCTGAAGCGTCATTTTGTGTTCCCGGAATCTGAGAAAAGCCGAGGGTAAAAGCTTACTATTTTCCGTACTTGGATTTGGTGAATGGGTTGTTGTTGTTTCTACAGATATGTTTTGGGTGGCGCCTGAACATCAATCTCCAATATACCGAGGGACACAGAAAACGTGAAGTCACTGCCGATATAAAAAGTACGGTACCTACACATTTCGTCACTGCAAGAGAAAGTAAGGTTTCTTCTTACACTCCCGGGGAAAAAAAAGAGACTCCTCGCTATCATCCTAAAGTAAACTGTTATTTACATGTTTTATCAAATAAGTAATACGTAGTCAAATAAGTTCTGCATTATTATCATTATTAGTATTACTATTATTGGGAGTCATAGTAGTGATAGCAAAAGTAGTACTAGCAGTAGTAATAGTAGCAGTAGTATTAATATCATTACGTGTTCCGCTTACCTAATGTAACTCACATTAAGTGGCTACCATCTTTACTGCAAGTGACGAAATAAAATATTCACGCATACAAACTACATTACCTATCACCGCACCTGTTAGGGATGGACCAGCTAGAGCGAAAGGTCTTCAAACTTGGCTGGGATGACTACAGTTCGTGAAGAATACTATTAGTCTTTTCTTTTTTGTTCGTGTCTCCTTTTAGTGTGTCATGGCTCTTGCAAAGTGAATCACCAAGCACAGTCTAGAGTATTATTCAACGCTAATAATAACCGCACCAGCTCGTTAATTAGTTTGAGCGAGCCACGAATGAACGCTCTGTCGCCCATTCATATCTGCCTGCAACATACCCAGCATTCCCAGACGTAAGATTCATTCATGAAGGTTCGTGACAAAGATGACAGCCAATATACTATCGAAAATATGTTGTAACTAAAGAACCTTTTTTTCACCTTCAGTGACTTTGAAAAAAATGGACGTATGAAACAATGATAATCTCAGTCCAACACTGGCAGACATGAATCCATTATGGATAAAAACACGAAACAGAAATGCTACAAGAATACGGTAGAAAACGCACACACAGCTGAACCACCAC